AGAATGTATATTTACTTTTTAATTATATTTTTTTGCGCCCCTTATTATTTATACTCAGACTCTTAAATTAATCGTTGCCATCTTTTTGGGGTTTCTGCATAAATTTATTGTTTTACATAATTTCAGCCCACTAAACAGTATACATTGAAACAATTAAAAAAATGCAAATTGCAAAAGAAAAGAAAGAAAGAAATGTTTACATTTCTGTCCACCATCATGATTATTGGGTAAAAACTTGACTTTTTTTGTGTTGGCGTGATTAGATTTAAATTACCTGGACATAAATTGGGATGGAGGGACTAGTAGAACAGCAAGGGGAAGCTGGTTTTTGAACCTGTTAGATGACACTTTAATGTCACAACTGGTACAAGCAGCAACTAGAAAGGAGGCTAGTCTGGACCTGGTTATAACTACCATTGTTATTCTTTGTGCTTACAATCATCTAGTCTTGAAGAAGTCTACTTGTACGAATATAACACATTGTTGGCACTAACCTAGGTGGCCCTTTTGAACTCACAGAATTAGTTCCTGATATTACTGCCTCTGCTATTTGGTCCACACCGAATAGCAGACACCAATTCAGCTTGTCTGCTGTCATTCACATTGTCTCCGAACAATTTACTGTATTTAATCAAGTGAGCCTGTGCAGTCAAACTCCACTCTTAAGAGGCCAATCTGATTCTGCCTACTGCTCAATTATCCTTCTCTGTGTGTATGGACTGACCCTTATTGGGTCCGTTCACTGCAGAGCATTCAAGTAACAGTGGATCCTTTAAAACCTCTGCTTTATGCATTAATACTGCAATACTCTAGGTTAACTGACTGTATTTAATCTTGGCCATTGCCATCATGTTTGTTCTGCAGCCCTTGTAGGTTCGAGTTTGCTTTATGCCGACTTCAGCGTGTCTGCTAAGGAGTAGCACAGTATTTGTCAGTGGTCTGGTCAGAAAGGGGTGCTAACCAGTGCAGCGACTTCTATAGGGTGGAACCCAGAATGCATAGAAACCAATATACACACAAATCAAGGCAAAAAAAGTGTATTGACATATACAAAAAAGATAGTTATATAAAATAAAACACAGATAACTGAATGTATCAGAATGGCCTCTGGATACCGGGAAGAGGCCAGCTCAGGAACACAGAATAGGAAGGACCAGATTAACATTAATGAACTGGCAAACAAGAAGGGGTGAGTCTCAACTAAATAGGGAGATGTTAATCACAAAGTAAGGCCAGCTGGGAACAGAGAAAGCTCTCAGTCTGGGTGCAGCAGCCTGCAATAGCACCACAGACAGGTAGTGGCACTGTGAGGTGCTGCACCAGACTGAGAATAAACCAAATTGTGACAATATTATACCAAAACAACTGATTTATTTGAATACTGTGGGTTCCATTTATATTATTTTATTATCCTCATTCACCCTCTTTCTCTTCTTCCCCTTTACCAAGGGATATGGAACTTATTTGTGGATATTTTCACCAATTAAAGGGACACTATAGTCACCTGAACAACTTTAGCTTAATGAAGCAGTTTTGGTGTATAGAACATGCCCCTGCAGCCTCACTGCTCAATCCTCTGCCATTTAGGAGTTAAATCCCTTTGTTTATGAACCCTAGTCACACCTCCCTGCATGTGACTTGCACAGCCTTCCATAAACACTTCCTGTAAAGAGAGCCCTATTTAGGCTTTCTTTATTGCAAGTTCTGTTTAATTAAGATTTTCTTATCCCCTGCTATGTTAATAGCTTGCTAGACCCTGCAAGAGCCTCCTGTATGTGATAAAAGTTCAATTTAGAGATTGAGATACAATTATTTAAGGTAAATTACATCTGTTTGAAAGTGAAACCAGTTTTTTTTTCATGCAGGCTCTGTCAATCATAGCCAGGGGAGGTGTGGCTAGGGCTGCAAAAACAGAAACAAAGTGATTTAACTCCTAAATGACAGTGAATTGAGCAGTGAAATTGCAGGGGAATGATCTATACACTAAAACTGCTTTATTTAGCTAAAGTCATTTAGGTGACTATAGTGTTCCTTTAAGTATATTTTGTGTTTTCTCTTTTACAAGGAATTTATATTATTATGATTGTTTTGTTATATGTAAAACACTTGATTATTATTTGATTTGTATGTGATATCTAATTGCATATGCGCCTCCTGTCGAACTAGCCTATTTCATGTGGTACGAGGTACTTTATTTCCCTTACTATAGATGTTTAATACATGTAGCTATTTGCTTATAATGGTATTTGGTTAGGGTTTATTTTGTTTATGCCACGCTCCTTATTTATGTTTTCATAATATCTCAGTCACCCTGTGTTATATGGTAAGTGGCATTATTACAGCATCTCCTAAGAGTTTATTTTTTATTTTTTTTAATTCGTATTTTTTTTTCTTGTATATTTTGTTATATTTGAGAGATTTCTGTGCTTTTCACCTCCCTCGTGTTGGTGTGTTACGGGAGTTACCATGGTCTGTAGCTCCCAATACATTTAATATAAATGTTGTGTTCAGCTTGTATAATATGCTTTGGAAATTTGAAAGAATTGTAATTAATAGCTAATAAATAAACCAAGCATAAATATCATTTAATTTTACATTACAAAATAGATGAGTTGCCTGTGCCTTAAAATGATCAAATCCTAGCAGTTCTTTATTTACTGCATTTCAGAATCGATATCAAATACAGAGCTAACTGTTCAACAAGCACAGGACTCTTCGGCCACACTACGAGGCTCAGTGACTATTAACTGCTCATATAATTACTCTGACGAAATAGCCCCTCTATGGATTGGGATCTACTGGAGATTGGGCAGCCCTACTGGTGATTATGTGTATGATCCCTCACATAGGCTGATCAGTCCTACTTACAAAGGAAGGACAGACCTGAGAGGGCAGGCGGATCTTTACGTACAGAATGTGCGAGAAACAGACAATAATACATTGTATTACTGCTTGGTGATACTCCGGGTCTGTGTTGGAACTAACAAATATGAAACATTTACTGTTCATGGAGCTGGAACCAGATTAATAGTCTCAGGTAAAGTAAAAAAATAAATAATAACAGGTCTAATATTCCTCAACTTCTCTCAACGTAATATAGCACACAGCTATCTCTCACTCTGCTCCTCTCTATATAATATACACAGCTATCTCTCGCACTGCTCCTCTCTATATAATATACACAGCTATCTCTCGCACTGCTCCTCTCTATATAATATACACAGCTATCTTTCACTCTGCTCCTCTCTATATAATATACACAGCTATCTCTCACTCTGCTCCTCTCTATATAATATACACAGCTATCTCTCGCTCTGCTCCTCTCTATATAATATGCACAGCTATCTCTCACTCTGCTCCTCTCTATATAATATACACAGCTATCTCTCACTCTGCTCCTCTCTATATAATATACACAGTTATCTCTCACCCTGTTCCTCTCTATATAATATACACAGCTGTCTCTCACTCTGCTCCTCTCTATATAATATACACAGCTATCTCTCACTCTGCTCCTCTCTATATAATATACACAGCTATCTCTCACTCTGCTCCTCTCTATATAATATACACAGCTATCGCTCACTCTGCTCCTCTCTATATAATATACACAGCTATCTCTCACTCTGCTCCTCTCTATGTATAATATACACAGCTATCGCTCACTCTGCTCCTCTCTATATAATATACACAGCTATCTCTCACTCTGCTCCTCTCGATATAATATACACAGCTATCTCTCACTCTGCGCCTCTCTATATAATATACACAGCTATCTCTCCCCCTGCTCCTCTCTATATAATATACACAGCTATCTCTCACCCTGTTCCTCTCTATATAATATACACAGCTATCTCTCACTCTGCTCCTCTCTATATAATATACACAGCTATCTCTCACTCTGCTCCTCTCTATATAATATACACATCTATCTCTCACTCTGTCCCCTCTATATAATATACGCAGCTATCTCTCACTCTGCTCCTCTCTATATAATATACACAGCTATCTCTCACTCTGCTCTTTTATATATAATACACACAGCTATTTCTTACTGTGCTCCTCTCTATATAATATACACAGCTATCTCTCACTTTGCTCTTCTCTCTATATAATATACACAGCTATCTCTCACTCTGCTCCTCTCTATATAATATACACAGCTATCTCTC